AGGAAAGGAGGTCGTTGATATACAAGAAGCACAGTGTCGGAGTCAAGGCCAATCCCTTGGGTTCACCCGCGTTGGCCTTGGGGGATGACGAGGAGATCCCGACGGATACCTTGCGGCTAGAGAGAAAGTTACCCATCCACCTGCAAAGCTTTTCTGGGAGGCCATAGAATGAAAGTTTGCAAAAGAGGGCAGCGTGCCACAGCTGATTGAACGCTTTCATGATATCAAGGCCAACGACGTAACCCTCACCACAAGATTAGTTTACTCCACAATTGCGTGACGTAAGCTAGGAGATCCCCTGTGGATCGAAGGTGCCGGAAACCATATTGCCTGTCGCTAATCAAGCCGAGACGTTCGAGGTAGTCCAGAATATCGCGATTTATGCACCTCTCATCACCTTACTTAAAACAGAAAGCAGAGCTATAGGCCTGTAGTTGTAAGGGTCGGTTTTAGATAGTTTTTAGGGATGGGTTGACCATGAGCAAATTTATAGTTTTCTGGGAAGGTACCGGATTAATAAAATATCTGGAAGAGACGCGAAAGAACTGGAGCAAACTACGCTGCACACCTCTTCAGTACAATGGCAGGAATCAAGTCCGGACCAGAACCTTTGTTGGGGGGCGTCCATGGTGGAGTTGGCAGCAAAGATCTTGGCAAGTACTTCCGCTTTAGCCTTTAAGTCGGTTACAATCGTTCCATCCTCACACGTAGGTAGTGGAAGGCTACTGTGTGAGAAGTTCTTTTCAATCTGCTTGGCCAGCGTCCAGACAGACCGACTGCCATTAGGCTGTGCCATTACCTTCCCAAGTCAGCCGTATCTTTCATTCTTTTCAGAGAAATTGTACAAAATCTTCAAATTTGTGAAGTTAGCGAGTTTAACTACATATGTCCCATATCATCAGTTGCTGCCGAGATATTTATCCCGACCACTGCATCTCCACGGCTAGAAGACCTATATGTTAAATTTGTGTTGATAGGGCAGCGGATTATGCTATAAATCACATGTCATAGTTCTTATGCACTGATTGCAACGGTTAGATGATACCAAAAATATTTTCATAAATAGGAGATCTTTCCCATTCCGCATCTAACAATCGACCAAAGATGGTTATAATCATGATACTTAGTAAATTTTCATGAATAATCCGCTGTGCGTAGGTATATTGAAGAGATTTCTTATTTGTTCATCAATTTGATGATACAACACATCTGCCAAAGATGATCATAATCAGGATAGTAAACTATAACGAAGGTCCACTGTACGTAAAAATTTTCAGATACTTCATTTGCAATTTGAAGATACAACAGACCATTACGCTTTTCACACTTTTCAAATATTCTTCAAGATGTGATATTAGTCTAGCTCCAACTATCATAGGTACTTGCTTTAAATTCAGAACCAGCAAAAGTAAAAGATTCATTTCAAAGTTCCTATTCACCCTCCACCACGGGACGTGATCGTCGTTAGACTTGGCAACCCTGCGAGTGACAGATAGATATCCCCACCAACTAAATAAGAAAGATACATTATTATTGCTTATGATTTTTGGAGTTTGAAGACTTTTCATACGTCGGTATTTTAGGATGGAGAGGACATAATGTTTTGATTACTTTGAAAAAATTCATTAACACATAAATTAATAAATTAAGATGTAAAGGGAGATAAGGAACTGGTTTGAATGTATTTTATATTCTATTTTCTTGAAAAATGCAGACAAATCCGCACTATTCAACAGGTATGTTCACAAATTCGAGATTGCCTTGCATTAGCAAACGTTCAAAAGTGGTATCAAATTTGCCAGCTAGATAATCGACCTATTATTTGTCTCATTCCCTTTGGCTAATGGGACAAAGGTCTGTTATTTGTAAATTTATAAGAAGAAGCAAAATACATGAAAGATGACCTGTTTTCTCTGAACAAAAGCATCATGTTGGAATACAAAAGTGCTCTTATTTATAATACAATCGTTTTTCACGATTTTATTCAAATTTTTCAATAGAAATCACTGATATTCGGAGAGTTTTGACACCTTCCGTCAAATTGCATTTCAATCAGGTATTTTCCCATTGGTCTAAACTCCAAAGGTTAGTGAAATCTAGCCTTAACTTTTTTTGCGCTAGAGTTATCCCATTTCACAGATTTCAAAAATTTTTTGGGAAATTCGAAAGGCTATTTAATATTTTTTTAGAAAACCTCAAGATTCCAAGCGCTACGGATACTGCGGTATGATCTTTATTGTTATTCTGCTAAATTTCCTGAACATCCTGATAAATATCGTTGTAATTTTTTGTGTCGAAGTAATAACTAAAAATAAATGTGGATACCTGGATTTCCTACATTTTAGATCTACCACAGTTGGTATTAGGGTATGAATGGCGAAGATTTATACCATTTGTAATGTTTTGATCAGGCAAATCAACAATTTTACATAAAAAAGAACTATTATTAATGTTAGAAACGAAAGATATAAGATAAAGATGATAAAGTCCAACTTTCTACAACATATATGAACATTTAAACCAAATATAAGTCTAATTTACGAAATATAAGCTGGGGAATTCAGGTTCCCAAAAATTATACCAAAACTTACATCTGGCTAAAATGAATACCAAACCAATTAAATAGAATATAATTACAATATATTTGATGTCCTTTCTTGTAGGATATACCTAGTTCACTTGCATACTTATTCTTTCCACTATAAGTTGTAGCACACTTTAATCTTACTAAAAACAGTTACTAATGCGTGTTGCACCGTTCAGTTTGAATTAGGTCGACACCTGACAATCATATTTTTTATACCCTTACAGGTAGGATACTGGCTCTAACACTTTTTAATAAGGCCATAACTCTGTTTAGAAGAAGTAAGGCTGACAGCCGTTATGGGACGCTATTTTACGGGATAACAAAATCCTTTTCGTAGTTCTTGATTTTCTCATTTGTTCTTAAACGTAGAATCTTCAAATTTAAAATTGGTTATAAGAAGTAGTTTTCTTTTGCGGAAACAAATAGATTCCCCAAAAATCAAGGTTTATGAGAAATCATTTATTTTTGACAAACAAAAATGACAACAAGTTCTTTTTCTTAGCAATTTTCATCTAATTATTGAGCTGAAAACTGCGTGAAAATCGGTCAACAATAAAGCGAGATATCCTGGAACTACGTTTGCGGTAAGATAGAAAGTGCTCTTAAATGCTAGACGTAAGTGAATTTGTATTCTTACTGATTTTGGAGTATACCCCCACTATTGTAAGGTTTTTCAAAAATAACATTAATTGTGCCTAGCTATGAGGTAGAGAATTGCATTCAAATACATAGAATATGCAAATATTTCAAACTAATGGTTTGAAGTTTTGATATATTTTTAAACTTGTAATTTGTAAAATGATTATAGTCTCAAGTTTATAAGGTTCCCACAAATATAAAAATATTATCAGATAGGGTATGACATCATTTTTCGTGTCAAATTTGTGAACTTCAATCTCAATTTCAGAACATTTACACATACATACGTAGCTTTTCATGACACACTAAGCAGTCTACTGATAATTTGTTGAAACACTTCTATTTCTGTATCTGCATATATTGTAGCTGTTTTTAACGGTGCCTCTCTGAAATTAGCAATGCTCGTGCACTGTGCAGACAATGTTTCTTCCATAGGCATAACTTACCTTCATCAGGGCAGCTTGGTTATAAGCTTTTGGGGTGATACAAATATGTATTTGCATCAATTTGCTCATTTTCGATTTTTACCATCTGTTTTATCAGCCTGAAATTTCTTGTAATTTCAAAAAGAGCGCTGACACGGAACGGTAGAAATCTAGACATAAGTAAATGACCATGATGGTTTTGGACCCACACACCTGCCTTTCTGTAGGAAAGAAAGAAATAGGGAAATCAAGGAGGCCATAAAGGCGTCCTACAATTGCAGGAACCATTGACGATACGGCCCAAAGTATTCTGACTACTTGATGGTAACAACCGTTTCATTGGTGGTGATATCAATGTCTTTACAGAGTACGAATAGTTATAAGCCAGAAGATTCGGGGATCTTACTATCATTTCAACGTATGAGCTGAAGATGGTTTCAGCTTTGGCAAACCAGTTATAGGTGACGTTTCTCACCTACTAACATACATCAATAAAGAAATCTTTTGTAATTGCTTACCTTGGTGAGGGAGAACGTTGCGTCGTACTAGATGGACTATGAAAACGTTCCCTAGATGCTGATTTGCTCTGGCCTCTACTCCTGCGATTGTATTCCCAGGACAGGGATCTGCGCTTCCAACGATCCAATGTTGACGGCGCCCTTGGCCTTCTATGCAGACCTTCCCTCACTGGGGTACGGTTACCCCTGCTTCTAGCCTTGTCTCGAACTAATAATACAGACATTAAATATCATTGCTTTAAGCATTGGTCTTATTAGAGGGATCGATCTGGAAGTTTCTTACGCATTCACGCAGAGTATTCATTCAGCGCACGTTTGATTAATAATTAAAAAACAAAGGTTAACAATAACAATAACCCCAAAATGATGTTTGAATTTGTAAATAGATGCTTGAAGAATATTTTACAACATTAAAATTTTTCGTTTAATATATTGTTTTTCGTGGTCGGAAATGACATATTTTGTACTTTTTGAATCTCAGAAACTAATAAATTCAGAAAAAAATTCAAAAATACAGGCGTCCCTCGTTTTACGCGGCATATTTATATGCGGTTTCGCTTATACGGCGTTTGCGCTTTTGACACCAGTGATTTATTTTACGCGGTTCACTTATACGCGGTTGCTCCCCGCCCGAACTTAAAAAAATGGCCAGAAATTGTGAAGTCTCATGCGAAGGTGCCTTATATCAGAGACAAAATCAAAGAAATTGCTGATTTTGAAAAGTCATTACCTGGAGATTGATTCGATTATATGGGCTATTTCAATCGCATAATGTTGAACACACTGAAAGAGAACTCATAGAACTGACGGAGAACAATAGGCTATATGACTAATTTTGCAAAATCATTTTAAATTATTCTTTTATATATAATGAGCACACTACATGAATATTTCCTGAAAATCTATACTATTTTTAATAGAAATCAAATTTAAAGTTTGAATTGTTAGAACCGCGCCAAAAACGCTATTCCTGTGATGGCGCAGGCAGATGACGTCTGTGACGTCACACGCCAGTAAACACGATCACGAGCTGTCAGCCGAAGTTAATTTCATTATTGTGCTTGATTTTGCTATAAAATCATAGATAAAATGGTCTATAAATGGTGTGTAGTGCCAAAATGTACGAATACGTGTATAAATAGTCCACAAACATTGTTTGTTTCTGTTCCAACCGATTGTAAAAGACGAAAAAAGTGGTTACTATTAGCTCGGAGAGACCCAAAGGGCATTTCATCGACTTCAAATGTATTTATGTGTGAAGATCACTTCGATGTAAGTATAAATTGAATATGTTATCTACTAGGTAGCTTAAATTACCGCTTTTTTAAGATTGAAATAATATATAACTATCTATAAGCTCAAATGTATCTTTGATTATGTTGAGGATAAGTCAGTGTTGAGGATCAAAGATCCTGTTTATTAACCCTAAACTTATTACTCTGTAGGGTTTCAAAATGTTTTCTGTTGTTTTGATTATATTAGCTACCTACATATCTCAATAATTTTCTATGCTGTGTCATTTTACCTACTTTGCTTATTAGATAGTGATAGTTATGTTGAATTGCAGATGGAAAAAGACACCATTAACTACATGCAGTACAAAATGGGTTTCAGCAAGAAGATACTTTTGACAGAAGATGCTGTGCCAACAAAATTTCATTGTCAAGAAGATCGTAAAAGACCACTGTCTGATGCTGGAGTTTCTCGAGGAGCATATGTCAAGAGGAAAAGATTGGATTTGGTCAACACATGTTTGCAAAGTCAAAATGCTACTGAAGCCCAAGCTGAAAGCTTACAAAAAGATGAGAGTTTGATACAAGACATTATTGAACCTCAAGGTATGTAATCTATTACATGTGTCCTATCATAAATTATAGTCTAATAGCTGATAGACATTTCTGTAACCTATTTGAGGCGTTATAAAAACTTGTCTACTACTTCTTCCATTATTTCTGAATAAAAAGGGCAGAACTGAATAAGGTGAGCAACTGTTGTCCCTAGGGGTACGGAGAGTATTTTTCAAAAAAATCATAAAGACATATTTGTAGCACATTGAGATTTTCACAGAATAATATTTATGGTTTAAAATTGATATATTCAAAGTGATAGGTCATTTTAGTGGGACATTTTACTTGCTAGGTGATCAAGAATGCTCAACTTGTACTTCAGGTAATGGGTAATTTTCTCTCAAGCTGTTGATGTTGTGATTCACTACCAATTATCCAGCACTGCACTTTTTCTTCAGTGATAATGGAAGAAGTAGTAGACAACTTTTCATAGTGCCTTAACGTAATCATTTACATTGAAATTAAGACATTAATTTTGAGTCTTTGTTCTTTCAGGTTTATCAAGAACTCAAGACAGAGAAACTATTACCAACTCTATCATAACTGCAGAAAAATCTGTGCAAGTAACAATAAAAGAGAATGTGCATCATAGGAGCAAATCTGTGCAAACAAGATGCCAGACTACAAGTATTTCTACCTCACCAATGAAAGTTTCTACAACATCTCGTTCCACTTCGCCCTTTAAGATTAAACCATGCAGTCTTCGACAGCAGTCTGAACTTGTCAAAGCAGTCAAGAGAAATGTTTTTCTTGAAGATGAAAAGTCAGATAGTGATATTTCCTGTATTGAAAGTGGTCGTCATTTATCACCTTTTGTAACTAAATCAGCATCATCATCATCAGGGCTTACCGACTCTGATAGTAATGTTACAGATACCAATGAGAATATTGAAAAATTAGAGTGCCTCAAAATTACTATGCGTTCAATCTCTAAAAAACCAATGATGTATGTTGGTATTCCAAAAGAATGTTATTTCTTAATCAAATTGTTACATAAACACACAAGCATAAAAGTAGAACACATTTTGCTATGCTTGAAAAAGATTAGAATGAACAGTACATTTTCTGAACTGGAGGATAATTTTGGAATATCATTATCTTATGCTAGTAAATTGTTTCTACAAAATATACCAATAATAGCTAGTGTTTTAAGACCATTCATTGAAAAATAGATAAAAAATTGGTAAAAAAAAATCTTCCTATTTCATTTAGACGTAACTATCATAATGTCAGTTGCATCATAGATTGTTTAGAGATTGATATACAAAAACCATCAAAGGCTCTTCATCAGTCATTGACGTGGTCAGAGTTCAAAAAGGGGAATACTGTGAAGTATTTAGTATCCTGCACACCTAATGGTTTAGTTAATTATGTTTCGCATGGGTTTGGGGGCAGAACCAGCGATGCCACAATAGTAGAAAATTGTAACTTTCTAGATGGATTACCCCAAGGATCCTGTTGCTTAGCTGACAGAGGCTTCAAACACCTTGAACAAATACTTCATGAAAAGGGACTAAAACTATTAAGGCCACCCAGTGTAAATGCTGGTGCAAAGTTGTCAAAAACTGAAGTTCGACAAACTAAAATAATAGCTAGTTTGCGGATTCATATTGAAAGGGTAATAAGGCGTTTGAGATAATTTCATATTTTAAAGCAACATTCAGTGATAAATACTAACATACGTCGTGTACTTGATCATGTCATTATAATTGCATGTGCTCTAATAAATTTGTAAGATTCTCTTATTAAATAATGGGTTTTTGCCTGTTATGATACTTTATACTTAATTATTATCATGTAATCTCCTCTTTTGTGACATACCATTTGAACTTTGTGTTTTGTACTGAATAAATACTTCTACTACTACTACTATAAATAAAGAAATAAATGATGTAAAACCATGAATAAAATAATAATAAAACAAGAAATATGCACTGCATAGTTTTTTAGTTGATAATCACAGACTAGTGCTACGATACAAAATAGGATATATATTTTTTTTCCAAAAAATATACAAGTTTTTTATTAAGTTGTTGACATAATCATCTTCGTACTTCACTAGAATAATATCTACATTTTTTGTTTCTTCAAAGTTGCTATCAGCAACACAAAAATAACATTTTTTCATACCAGTTGCATGCATCTCGACTGTTTACTACCAATAGCATCTATCTCCAAAATGTGAAAATATTCAGGAGACATGAAAATGTGTTTCTAAGGGACAATAGTGCGTTATGCGTCAGAGGATGGAAATAGTTTTGCTTATTGCGCTTCAGAGCACGTCTATGTATATGATATTTTGCACATTCTTATCGATAATCGCATTTTATCACATACTTTTTGATACCTCCTATGTATTGACGGGTGTTCATCTTGAAGATAGGAGATTTTGCAATTGAGTATATTTTTATTGTATGTATGTTTATAAGTCTCGCAAAAGTAAAGAACAATGATTCTTAAACACAACTCTTTTTATCTAATTATCTTTGTGTGGCAAGGTATCATAAAAGTTATGACAGTCATCGGGAAGAACCTGTTTCAGTATTTGTAAATGCTGAAACTTTGACATCTTTATTGAGATTTTCGAAGTATGCAGGGGAGGGTAGATTGGTACTTCACTTGACAGTTTTTTAGGCCTTGAAGGTAATTCTCTCCATTGTTCGTCCAACTGAAGCTTATAACTGATAGACCCTTCCATATCATAACTCAAGGCACGCAAGTCAGTAACAGTTGGTTCATTTGGCTTTCTACCAGGACGAATGCTGCAGTATCTTAGGAAACAAGGTCTTGAGTAGTCTTTGAAAAAATCAAATCCAAGTTTAATTGCTTCATATGGGTACGGTTTGGTCCGAGCTTCCTTGGTCGCTTTAATATAGTCGCTTGGTAAACTGATATCTCGATTTCTCAACTTGCGCTCGATGCAGCTGTGAACGGAGTCACACTCCATCTGTGTGTGGCCCTTTTCAAGGAATTTTTGTTGTATGTTTATCTTATTATGCACAGCATAATTAAGTAATGCATTCGCCATGACATTGTTCCGATTCTGGTATGTACACCCATCGGAATAAATTATGACTGGAAGACGTTTTGTTAAACAATGTCTTTCCAAGTAATCTATTACACATGATACAAAGGCAGAAGCAGACAAATCACAGTCAGATTCAGTGAACCAGTAACATGTAGCATTGCGACTAGTAACGTCATAGATCGTGAAATTGTGACAGCACAATTTAGTTTTGAAAAATACCATACTAGATTGTACAATGGGACAAACTTTCACAGCTTGAAGATCCATAGTCAGTACAATACATTTCCCTTCCTCTGCTAATTTCTTATCTGTTTCTTTTTCTAATCTTGCTCGGTCTTTCTTTTTTATATGTTCAGTGTATTTTTCATTGCTGATGTTTCCAACCCTATAACTCACACAAACGTCACATTGGTCCTTCTTCGGTTGGTACAATGACAGATTACTATCATTGAACTGGTTATAAAATGTTTTGTTTGAAAGACATTTCCTATCTTCCTTTTGGCACATTTCGTTGTATAAGTCATAGACTTGTTTCAGTGACCTGAACACAGGTTCAAGGTAGAGTTTTGTTGAGTTTGCTCTATTATAATGGGAAGGCAATTTTGGCAACTTCTCGAGGAATCCCTTGAGAAAATTTATATCTTCTGCAAACGGAGATTTTTTCATACGTTTGGAATTCTCTGCCTCCTTATGAGGAAGCATTCCATGTTCGCCTTTTTTTGTCCAGCTTTGGACAGTGAAAGGACGTAGATCAAGAGTGTTCAGAAAGATCTTTCTACATACTTGATATTTGGTGTTATTTAGGGTCAGTGTATAGACCAAACTTTCTTCTCTTCGAGACTCAGAGACTGTTTTTCGTTTTGTGTTTACTCTTGTAACGTGAGCAACCACATACATCTTCCTTTGGTCCCAATTCAGGTCAGACCAGAACTTGGTGAATATAGACATTCTGTCAATACTGGTAAATTTATCACACATCCTCTTCTTGGATTTCAGACAAAGGGAAGATGAACAACCTGGTTTCAGAGATCTGGCCTCTCGTATTTTATTTTGCTTCATTGTTTGATTTCTTGGTTTAGTGTATCCTAAATATTGTTTCCCTTCCATACGAAGCTTTTGATTTTTTATCTTCTTCCATTCGTTTTGGTCAGATTTGTGTTTTCGTTTTCGTCCTTCGTTCATATCTCCATGTTCTGCATCGTTCGAAGACATATTTCCTAGGGCTAGTTCATTATCACTATGAACAAGACCTGGATTGTCACTATCATTGTCTGTACTAGGAATATAGTCAGAATCAGAATTTTCTGAAATATTATCAACTGATTGCTCAATGCTGTTTATACTGCACAGGTTTTCTAAGCTCTTAGCTTTAGATTCACCACTTGGACCATCACGATTTGCCGCTTCGTTCTCCGCTCGGACATTGTCATTTAAAGAAGAGTCTTCCTCGCAATCCATGATAGAAAGGTGTCCGTCCTCTTTAACAATGAATATCAAAGGATCCTCATTATTGTTCTTCTGGATTGACTGATCACAGTTTGCAATGATACTTTCTATTTGTATGTTGGTAGACATATTGGACAAAGATAACGAGGTGTTTAGAAGATCTCCAGCATCAAAACTTAATTGCGGTATGTTAATACTTTCTTGACCAGTATTTTGGAATTGCTTGTTTGCAGGAATATCAGATGAAAGCATCGAAATGGAAGTGTCCTGGCTCTCAAAACTAGCAGCTTGATTTGAAATACTTCCTAACACCATTTCGTTGTCAATCGCACTTATTCGGGTGAGCTTGAAGACTTGTTCGTTTACTGTGCTTGTCCAATTGTTCTGATGTTCATCGCTAGCTGAGCTAGAAACAGCACCTTCTCTCTCCACCATTGCCATGATTTTTGCTGTTCTAGTAGCCATTCTGAAACAGCACATTATTATTAATGTAACTCCTAACACTATTCTATGGTTTTCATGTCGATAGTTCTCCTTTTGCCAGGCTATATTTAAACCACATGTTTTGTAGAAAACCTATATTTCATGTAGACCTTTCGTTTACCACTGTGGACTTATATAGTACATGACACATAATTTATATATCTGTTCACACAAAATTAAGGTTTCCTACACCACATGTGGTTTAAATATGATCCTGTACATGAAGGTCTCAGAAAAATATGGTGCTAGCTGACTGATCAATGAATGGCATCACATGTACTTACAAAAGAAAGCTTCAAAGTCTTAGTGAAATTTATTTTCGAAATACAAACATGGGATACTAATTGCTGGACATGTAAAGCATGGCGAAGCAATAGAGAACCGCAATAAGGATTATGAAGTATAGGTCAGTACAATACAGACTAAAGCAATAAACAACGAGCGATGCTTTCGCCATTTTTTGTAGAATTAAAGCAAATGGCAACCACGCAGTACTGTGATGAGGTCAACGGTCTTATAGAAATGCTAAAGGACCAATCGAAACTGATAAATAATTTTAGTTAGGTGAACTTCCTTTTTTTTCGAAAACTGCTGCGAATATCACGAAATTAACGTCTCAACAACTGTAGATCCACTGTAGCACAGTGTTTTGCAAAATATTTGAATTATCATTATCATCCTCACCATAATAAAAAGCTCAAATGGAGAAAGTTATCGTAAGTACAGCTACAGAGCTATGGAAATAGCTCCTAACTACAACAGAAACAATCGCCAAGTAGAACGGAAATACCGTCTATCTTCATATCTCCCTAAATATGATCGAATCGTGGTTAAAACGTTGAAGTGGACATTATGTCCATACACAAATATACACAGTGATATTCAACTCGTACTTACCTCTGGAAAGGATCCAAAATATTTGCAATGATACGCGATATTACAGCTTTAATCCTCCTTCGAAGTAACACGTGCGCTTGACCATAACGAACTGTTGAATAGGAGGTATTTCTTACTCGCTACGCAGGTGCGACAGTTACGAGATATTTGAATTGAAAAATGGCGCGAAAATATATATATTACTACGATAGGGGGAATTTCTGTTCGATAGATCTTGGAAAGACGAACCACGCGGTGTGAAGATGTTATTTTGTATAAAATTGGTAGATAGGAGGTATTGGTAGTAAACAGTCGATCTGTAATTGAACCTGTGCCTTACATTTCTCTGAAATAATTCCATTTTTTTAAATAATTGTTCTTAGCTTTTGCTTTGGTAGGGCATTTTATTTCAACAATGGCATCTTTCAATAAACCATCAGGAGATGCTGCAAGCATGGGATTGTCTTGGCATACATAAAGTCCACATGTTCTGATTTTTTTGTTCAATGTTGTACTAACTGTCTTCCGGACAGATAGCTCCAAACTTCTACCTCTTTTCATTGCAATAGTATCTGGTATTTTTGCGCCCATTATAGAAGCAACCAATGAACCATCAGGTGTATGACATACGCTCACTTCATGTGCCTTTGAAGCTGTGATACGGCCATACCTCATCTCATACCACAAGCTGCTCTTGTACTGCATTCTTGTTACTTCTTCAATTGCACTGAGAGCAGCTCTGTTGAATGTTGTCTTCATTATGTCTACAAGATTGTCTACGTTTGCTTGAATTTTTGGTGGTTGGTTCATTATGAAACAGTGCAGCGAATACCGCATAACATTTGAGTGTTTAAAATCGTCCTGATATTTTATCAATTCACAGTGCTGAAGTTTTCTTTTTTTGGCTTCCAAAATAAAGTCTGTGTAAAGTGCTGATGTACTTGGTCTGTGCGGCACTTCCTTTTTCGACATCTGCTGCACCGTGATGTACTTCAGAGTAGTCCCTACTCTTGACAATGTTGGCTTTTTCCAATAACATTCCACCGAAGTAGATGGAGGTTCCTCACTGCGCCGATGTACCCACATCAAAAAAGCGACTGCATGCTTGCAGCCTCCTGCTGAAGCAGCACAGTCATGGCACTGACAACTTATTATCTCGCTTTCATTTTCGTTGATAACCATTGTCACATTATAAGCTTTTGATCTCACTTTGTGCTCTGGGCATATTTTGCACTTAAGTGTGCAAAGTCCATGCTCCCGGTGCAGCTGCACATAGCCAATTGCATCGTCTCCGTAGGACTCCCTTCCAGACCTGTAAAACAAAAGCAAAACATGAAAGTATGTTTTATTCATGAAACCATATATGAACCATATTATCATATTGAACTGAAAGCTTTTTTCATTACATCAACATAACCTAAAATAAGATTGATTTTACAAATCTTTTAATGATCATACATAAAGGTTAGTAGGTATAAATAAATAATTTCTATTACTACTTACATTGTTGTTTTCACATGTTTGAGTTCCGCAGCATAGTAGTCCGCATTATTTTTGAAGAAAAATGCTACCATTAATGCGTCAACCTTAGGTAGATTACTGTTATCAGCTTGCACAAAATTTAGGTCCATTTTGAAGTCCACAACGAATAATGATGCCAATAGTTGAAAGATTGATCAAGAAGGTAATAAAAATCTGTTTACGAAATAGAATTATGATAGAATATCTCACAGAAAGCCAGCAAAAACGTACAACGCGATGTTTATTTACTTGCATGTGACGTCACCAGAGTCGCAGCCAATCGTAGGGCGTTTCTGTGACCCATCGAATTTTTAAAAATAGCTGATTTTTATTTGATTATTTCCCAAAAAATATACATATTTAGGTGTACATTAAAGTACTATGTGTTTTCTTGTTCTATTATCTAATAGGATCACCACAATTCGCAACTTATTTTCAATACTGTCAAATAGCCTATTATGAAGCTCAAGAAAAAGTTGAAGATGATGAATTAGTCCCGGCACCAAAGGAGTTGACGTTGAAAACGCTTAATAAATGTTTTACCATGGCACACGATCTCACCGAGCTATTAATCAGGGAAGATCCTACAATGGAAAGAAGTTCAAAAACTAAACGAGAGGTTTTTGCAGCATTGGCACCATACAAGGAAGTTGAGAAGAATTTACGCAACGAAGCTAAACAGTCAAAAATTAGGTCTTATTTTTCTAAAAATTAATACTTTTGTTAAAAAACTAACGTTTAATATTCTCATACATAATATGTACAAAAATACCTATGTATATTATGTATTTAACAAAAGTTTATGTAATAAAATGTTTTTGTTTCGATATACGCGGTTTCTTTTTACGCGGTGTTTTCAAAGAACGTTACCTCCGCGTAAAACGAGGGACACCTGTACCGTTTTTGTTAAGAATAACCAGGAAACCTAAAAGCGTTAAAAACAATTTTTGGTATGCCTTTCAAAGGGGTTTTTGTAATAAGATTATAAAAAAATAATCCGAATATTTTTGCTAGTATTGTGAATGTACTTCCTAGACTGATTAATCATCAATGGTTTGTCAAAAACCGGAACCTTAACTGGAATGTCACAATTACATCCACATATGACATCTTTTGTCAACAGGTGGACAAAAGGAATCAGATAAACGACTGCACTACAAGCAAGCGGTGAGCAGCTCGTCGCGTTTTTTTTTAATTGATTTGAATACATGTGCCAAGACCGATTGTCGTTGCCGGCTGTGAGAACAGATCCCTATATCTGACACAATTTCCGAAGCTCTCTTTCGCTTTGGTTGCCGAGGAGTACGGATTATTTAAAATGTCTTTTCCGCGAAAGTTTGCAAAACGATGCAAAACATATCACAGCGAAAATGCGATATGTTTTTTTTTGAATATTATGACATGTGTGATGTGTGTATATCACACGAAAAACTGGATGGTCAAAACTGTTGGTCAAGCGGTAGGCTAGATCGCACTGTTGAACTATGGACTGATTGTATGTATATATGTATACTTATGAATTAATGACATCGTTGCGTAGGTAGCGCGGAGTCAACCTACCGAAATACATTTCTTTTCGTGATGATGTCATATGCTATGGCATATCCAAAAAACATTTTTGTCTTAGTTTTGATATTAAAATGCTTCCCGTCATTAGGCGTGGGCAGCATCGGCATAACAAGGTTGCTAAGTATATTCACTGGCAAACCTGTAAAAAATGTTCAAGTTGGCGTATCTCGAAAATATTACAACCATAATCATCTGTGGTGATTGATAAAGGGGAGTGCACAATTCTTTGGGACCATCCGATCATAGCTGACCATACAATATCTGACAACCGCCCAGACGTCGTTATTCATGACAGGACATGCAAGAAGCATAAACCTTCTCAAAATATAAGGACCTTCAGATATACAGCGAATGTGGAATGTTAAGGCTAAAATAGCACTAGTTATAATTCAATCACTAGGAACAATTAAGAAAGGAATGTATACAAACCTGGACAAATACCCCGAAAACCTGGAATCTATTAGATTCAAGAGGTTGCACTGTTAGAGTTGGCTCACATCCTGAGAAGAATAATAGCCTAAAGGCCAGCAATTCCCTAGAATCCAGGTTGGGATCCAGAAGCTGGTGAATATCTGACTGAAAAATGGCGTGCGTACATAGAACGATAATAATAAAAATAATGATAACCATAGCCCGGACAGAGTTGGTATCATTCAGAAGAGGGCGAACGGGACTCTTTATGTCCCTTGCTCTTCTTTATCTCATTCTCCCATTGTCTGTTGTGCTGAGAAATATGAGAAGACACAGCTGTCACACGCCCATCAACTGGAGGCATAAGGTCCAGCTATTTTATATGGATGACCTAAGACTTTACGCCTCTGGACAACGCAATTTACAGCAATCGCACTAGTATACTGGTGCTACTGATATGGAATTCGGGATAAGCAAGTGCGCTATGATTCATCTAAAGAAATGACGACATGAATGGGAGCATTTTGCATCATCTACATGCCGGAGTGATATACGTATACCTACCTTGGTGTGGCGCAACGCCATATCCAGGAGGTTAGCGAGATCAAGCAGTCTTTTCGCCGCAAGTACATACATTAACTCAAGCAAATCTCGTCATCCTACGGCATTGAAGTTATGCCCGTGTCCATGATCAGGGGAACGGTAGTATCCTACCGCATCGAAGTCACGCCCATGTCTATATTCGGGGGAACGGTAGCTTCCTACCGCATTAAAGTCACACCCGATATGGATACCTTAATAATCTGGTGCTTAGACAGATATGCCAAATATTTGATTGCTACGAAAAGCATCCCAGAAACCAGGATATCATGTTGCCACGTCAATACCCAAAAGCTCCGACGTTACCTCTGATTCAGATTTAACCGAGCAGCGTGACAACTTTAAGTAACAAAACCTACACACATCTTGCCATGAGATACTTTCAGACTTCTGCGATTGCAACGAGAGGAACCTAGGCGGTCCCACAGACCTAGAATACCACGTCGGACAATGGCCGTCGTGTCAATATCCAATACGCTCCGATATTTCGCCTGACCGAGGCCACCGAGCAGTAATTCTCCCTTGTTGACTCTAAGTCTAAGTTACGACTAACTCTATATATTAGAAAATACACAGCAAAACAATCAAAGATACTCCGTGAAAACCCTCACCATTTGATTGATCAAACTTTGACCTCAACTTGATATGGGCACTATTGACAAAATCACAACAGACACACTTTGAACTAAGAGGAGCTGTGCCTCAGCGTGTCCTTGGCTTCACGAATATGCATGGTCGTAAGTAGTTGTTGACTTGTGTATTCCAGCAGTGCCTTTTTAGCTTTCCAAGTTCCAAGCAAACATTTTACACGGCGACTCAGTTGCAGAAAAGTGTCTAAAATAATGTGTATGCTTACAATACATTTTTCTTTTACTGCATCCTTACAATCGCTTTATTGTTTTCTTTGCACATAATGGCTAATAACGAAAACGAAATCGCTCAAGATCCTTTGGGCTTGAAGTACCACAGCAAGTGGCTATAACCGGCCGCGTGGTTGTGGTTATTTGTCGCCTTGAAAATTCTAGGTCTTCTAGCCATTTGATACTACAATGTGTAGGTTGGCTCTTGTTGTGGACTTCGTCTGTCTCTCTTTTTTTTCCTCTCCATCTTTGTTTCCTCAGGTTACACCCGTATCCGGATGTATGGCCATGTGTCTCTACTTTTGTAGTTGCATATGTGCATTCATTTCGGGCCTGATGAAGCCAACCAGCAGAATTACGTATCGCTCGGGTTACCTATCCTATTCTGCTCAAATCCACTTTTTGCGGATTTTGCCCATTATTTTCCTATTTTTGTTATATATATATATATTGAGACGTGGTCATTGTCGTCTAGACCAGTTAGGTGAAAAATTAAAGCTTCCGCCTTTTGTTGGGTACTTCGA